TTGGGCAAGTACTAGTGGAACATGTCAACAATCATTGATCACTAAAGTTCTTTGTCTTCAGAAAACATACAACAGAAACTGCAGCTAAGTAGGGACAATTCTTGAAATCTTTTTACAAGAAATATACTGTATCAATGTCTTCATATAAGAATATGCATTAATTGATAATAGTCAAAAGGTAAATAGTCAACTTGTCTACAATCATTGGTACAGTTGTTATTATTTTAGGTGGAGCTGATAGCAACATGCCTTAATGTATAGTTGACGACCTTAAGTTCTCCAGAAAGTGGAAATCATTGTTTAATAGCAATTTGCAAATAGTGGAAACCTTAACTGCTGAAAGTGACCAAAAATATTACTTTATTAAGAAGATGGCTAACAACTATGATCCTTAGAGATTGAAAAACATTTCTGAATTCTAGATGCATTGAAAATACTAGAAAAACAAAAAAGGTTATTTCATCAAATTCCCAGAAAGAGACTAAAAGTATTTTATATAACTATCAATCTATATTTTCATTTATTTTAAACTCTATATATTTTAGATCAACATTCATATTCAACATTTTTCTGGATGCAAGTGCTTACGAAAATACAGGCTATTTTTGAAAATGTTCTCCAAAATGTCTAATTCCAAAGTTTGATAATTAATTGTGACCAAGCTATGCTATGCTACAAGACTGTATTTATACTCATTTGCACAAAATCCACTTCCTTAAAAACGTTCTAATTTTAATAAACAAATATATCAGTGCTTAAATGAATCTTATGTTATTACTTCAATATAATAATTTAAATGCTTATTACTTTTCGAGTTTTATGCGATTTAATTTACAGAAGCAGAGACATCTTTCGGAATATTCAGGAAACAGTCTGCAACCAAACATACACAGTGTATGTCTCCTATTAGAAAAACAAATAGGAAAACAACGACTTGGATAATGATATGTATTTTAGTGAACTGGAGCTCCCAGAAGAATGTTATAAATGCATGTTGATCTTGAATATACACTGATTAAAAGTAGCGTAAATATTAGTTTGTAGCTGCAATGGTGTCTTCATAATTCAATTCAATAAACTTTGGAAAATAACGTCTTTGAAAATGGCTTGTATTTTCGTATACACCAACTCTCAGAAGAAATTTGGACATTAATGTTGATCTTAAATATACAGAGATTAAAATGTGTATCAATACAGGCGTGTAGCTACGATAGATTGGTCACAATTAATTATCAAACTTTGGAATTTCACAGTTTGGAAAACATTTTCGAAAATTTCTTGTGTGTAGTTCGTCTCGAACATCCGAGTGTACAATTTCCCAGAGGACGGACAGCTAATTAAAAGGTAGGAGAGATACATCCTTGTGTGTTAATCCTTCCCCAATCCGTTTGAGGTAAAAGGTGTAAGATCGTTCAGCCTCCGCAGGGGGACCTCAAAAGAGACTCCCCCTGTCGCCGACTTCGTCGATCTTGTCAACTTCATTGACAACGTTTTAAAGGGAAAAAAAAGCACTGATGCTTTGAATTTGCTAAAAATTGATAAGGAGCTGGTCGACAATATGTCCCAAGCGTTAGGGGGGGAAACTTAAAAAGATAAGCAAGGCAAAACAGTGCCGAATCGCCCTCCGATTTTATAAAAATACCCTGTTTGTGATACGATATTTTTTCGAACAAGGACGATCGTCCGTTTACAGTTAACGTAGAGCCTCGATCAAATTGAAAGCCAAACGGATAAGTAACGTAACCAAAGTTGACAGCTATTACTTTTAACTCCGGAGACAGCGCCAATGCATTATTCCTCAGGTCGTCTTTCCTGCTACAGGAATCGTTGAATCGCTTACATTCCATCCCACCTGATCAGCTGTAGGGGGATTATAAGGAATATCAAGAGAAACTTTTCTGAGAAGGAAATATTGGAAGAGATGAGATGTGCGGATGGTATTAAAATTGCCAAAATTGTAAAGATCAATAGGAAGGCGACGAACGAGGACGGCGGCTTCTCGTATGTTCCCACTAATTCCGTTATTATTACGTTCTGCGGAAAGAGAATGCCTAAGTCAGTTTATATGTATTATAACAGCAGACCGGCAGAGGTGTACGTACCCAGGGTCATCCAATGCTTCGGATGTTTATGGTACGGCCACACCAAAGCGATATGCAAAAGCCCTTGCATAAGATGCCCAGCTTGCGCAAAGGATCACCCTATCGATATATGCCCTGACAGAGACGCTCCGGGTTGTTTCAGTGTGAAGGCAACCACCTAGCCAACGAGCAGAACAAGAGATTGGCAGATAGAGCATGCCCGGAATACCTTCGTCAGAAAGCTATAAAGTCGAATATGGAGAATTATCAATGCTCGTTCTTCGAGGTTGACAAATTGTCGCAACATAATTAATAGACAAAACTCGTTACCCAGCGAACGTCCGGCTTCTAATAAGAAGTCGTTAGCTTAAGTTGCTCGAACCCGATCTCCCCCAGCTTCTACCACGTTTTCTGTTTCCTCAGCAAGAAGCATTGCTCGGGATCACTCCTATGAGCCGGAGGCTCCAAAGAGGAAAATAATGGGAAGTGTTTCGAGTCCGCAGAACCGACCAAAATACAAAGAACGAACCAGGAAGGAGGCCAGTCCAAAGGTGCTGGCATATAAACAAACGCCGTCGGAAGAAGACACTGAGGATGAATATCTCGCCTTAATAATATTCAAATTAATTACAGATATTAAGACGAAAGGATACAGACAGAACTCGCGCCTGGGAAGGGCCATAAAACAACTCGCAGCCATCATGCAAGCAGCAGCAACCACCAATAACAACAGAGATAATGGAGAGACAAGTTTGGAGAGTGAGGATTCTTAGCTGGAATGCTAGGTCTACCCCCAAGACCTTTTAAAAAAGACATTAGACATTTTATCCATAGGGGAAACCTGGATGGATGTCTCCAGGTTTTTCTATGTCCATTCCAGGATTCAATTTTTGTCATGAATTGCGTCCGGACGGCAAGGGAGGGGTTTCCGTCCTGGTCAGGAAAAACCTAATGGTCAGATGCAGCATTCCAACTTTTCTGCACCCCCAAACGCGTAGTTCGTGCACACAGTCATAGGTGAGTTAAAGATAATCACCCTATATATTCCGCCGAATGTAATTATGGAGAGAGACTTGTGGTTTCTGTTACTGGAGGACTTGGAGGGGTCCTTTCTGTTAATAGGAGACTTTAACGCGCATCACCCGTACTGGGGTCACGCTAGGGCTAACAGGAACAGACAGGAGTTGGCGGTTGTCATTGATCAGTACGAGGCGATTGGGAGGGAGACTCCAGCTACGAACGTGTGGAAGAAGATCAGGCCCTTCAATAGGAAACCCAACGGAAAACCCACTGCTACATGACGACAACGTTCTTTCTGTTGTATGTTTCTGAAGCCAAAGAACTTTAGTGATCGATGGTTGTTAACATGTTGCACTAGTACTTGTCTAAAGTGAAATATGAAGTTCAGAGAAAGGTTTTCTATCCAAAGAAATAGAAAAAGGAAGCAATGGAGCATGTTGTTCATTAAGCTTGCATTAAGAACAATGTAGAATAAAGAGGAAATCCAATAAATAACTTTAAATTTAACAGTTCCGTCACTCACACAAACATAAGATTCAAAAATTCAAATTTCAACCAATCAGGAATGACCGATGCCAGAAGCTCAGAAACCTCCTCGCACTCCTAGTCTCCTGATAGAAATCCCAATTTTATGGCATTTTCGAGATTCAAAGGAGGTTTTGATTCGCAAAAACCGCCAATTCATTAAAGCTTAATAACTTTCTTATCAATTGACCAAAACTATTTTATCAAACGAAAGCAAAATAATTAATTTTTACCACAGTACATTTCAAATATATATGAATATAACTATTTTTTTCAATTAGCTGCAATACCTTCACGTTTTCTTAAACTAATCGATTACTACTCGTGATAATTAAACAATCCAATACGCAAATTAAAATCCAACCTTTGCAATGAGCTACCTACCGGCATTGTGGTTTGGTCAGTACATCTACTATAAGTTATCAAAATTAAGCATTTTAATTTAATTTTCAATTCAATTTGCGAGATAATTGCATCATCGACACAGTTTAAAGCTGAATAACTCATCTTTTCAATGAAACTATTGGTATCTTCGTGCTGTCGTCGAGTCGCCTGTTATGAGCTGCAGAAATTGAAAAATAAATGAATTTCGTTTTGAAATCGTTGATGGATAGAAAAAAAAAACGTTTTTCGTCAATAACTCGAAAACTAATAAACTATTTTATGATTTTATTGCATAATCAGATGCAGGTAATAGTTGCGCATCTTTTTATGTAACAAAAGTTACTTAACATTCTATACGTACCAGAGAATCGACGTTATTGTTTCAGTTTTTTTCGTGAATTTTTTAAGATAATTACATCATCGATAACTCGTATGAAAGCAGAATGTCTCACCTTTCCAACGAGCCTACCTACATCTTCGTGTTTTCATCGAGTCGCCTGCTATGAGCAGAGAAATGCGTTTTATTTTCAGTGTCTACAGTTTTTCGTGAATTCCTCAACCACCCCTTAAGATAATTATATCATCGATTACTATAGACTTTTTTTTAATCGTTGTTTCGCTGAGATCCGACGAGTTTTAACGTTTTTTTTTTAATTACTAGAAAATTACCTAACGTTTGTTGTATTTAAAAATTTAAATACTGTACTTATGGTGTGAGAAGAGGTGCTTATGTACTAAGAATTCGATGACTAAGCTACCGCAGTGTGTTGGGTGGTCTATAGAGATACCTTTGCTCTCTTAATAAATTTTGGTAAACAAATATAAACGTTGACATTTTCCGAGCTAATTAGACACTAATAACATCACATTGGTTAAGATAAAATTAGGTTAAGTTGCTGATTAATATTGTTAATACAGTCCTTTGTATCTTCATTCATTCATTCAAATTGAAAGAACTATGTTTTACTAAATAACATATTAATTCGTGTGTTTTCATTGCTTGTATTTTTCTCTTTATTAAAACATTTTTTTGTTTGAAATAGAACAATTACAAAAAACAATTTCAGTCACAGTAAAAGCACAAAATGTTGAATAAAATACAGTTTAAAAATATTAGTTATTGCGAGGATCCAAGCAGCAATTTACTAGAGATACTTATCAATAAGTGTAACAGTTTTATCGTTCATTAAGCGGATCAAGCCTTCGTCATTTTTAAGATGATGAAGTATATGTTCTACCAGTTCATCGGTGCAGCTGAATCTTGAACAACAGTACGGACAGGCAATGTTTATATCGACTAAGTGACATTTACTAATCAAGTGTTTATGGATCTGTTCAAAATAAAAACTGGTCTCGCCGCACAGCGTACATTTGAAATAAATGTTAGGATGATCTGCAATGAAATCATACCAATATTAATATGTATTTGCAGCAATAGAGGATCTTACATTTTTTAACGGTAAAGAATTGATTATCGACTGGGGTTCTGGTGCTGCGCAGGAGTAGTTCTTCACTTATCTGAGAGCTTGTAAATGTGTGGTTATTATAGAATTTTAGAAAATTTGTTAAATTAAAGATCCTGAAAAGTATTAAACTTAAAAATTTACAATATCACTACAGATCATGTGTTATTTATTTACCAATTCAGTACAACTACTTGTGGTTCGTCCGCCATTGTAGATTGTTAAAATGAATACGTTTCTTAGGAGTCGTACCGCACTGGATCTGTACACATTTGACAATGTCGAATTATCTTTATTGCTGCTCAAAATTAAAAAAAAAATAATCTACAGATGCATTGAAGCTCCACCTCTATTGAAATTAACAAACTATACCATATTCGAAAAACATAGTAATTTAGTTTAGAAAACGAGCATCTCCTTTTATATTCCAGATGTAGTCTGAAATGTTTGTATATCTTTACAAATCAAATTAGTTTTTGTAAGTCTAGGTTTACGATTTCCATACTAAAGTAAATATACATTCAATTGCAAATTTTTTAAGAAATATTTTAATTACTGTTAATTTTATAAAGCATTTTTTGATAAATGTTTTCCAAATAATTATGCATAGAAAAAAGATACCAATACTTAATTAACTTAAAATAAATATATTGAAAAATTGACTGCATTTACTTGGTTACAACTAGTTTGTATTCTAGAAGATTTTGTCAAGAACAACAAATTATACAAAATTGTGGATTGATTAATATAAATATTATAGTTTGGGAACTGGACAAGTTCATAGTTTAAAACTAAATGAAAAGTTTTGAATATTATATAAACATTTAGCAAGTGTACGCGCCATCATATAAACAATGCATCACAATCCAAAAGACGGCCTTGTCTCCACCTATAGTGGTGGGCGGAGCTGAACATAGCTTCGTCCTTTCGACGCCTATCGACCAGTCACAATTTTATGGTCGGCACTATTGAAAATTATGCAAACTGATACTTCTGCAAGTCCAGTCAGAAGACTGGAAGATCTCGACCTGCTGTCTCTGTACTACAATTTGCTAATCTTTCGAGATTCGGCCGAAACTTGGCAGAGAAGGTGGAGCAGCTCTGAGACTGGTGCCTGGACCAGAGAATTTATCCCGTACTCTGCGATTATTTTGGGAAAACAAGGGATATCTCAGAAGGGCCATTTCAGTTCCACATTGAAGTTAAATCTAAAGGGAGCTGTGCGTGACGGATATGAATCTAGTAGCTATTGCTTTATATACATTTGGGCGGTTCTATACCAGTAGGACGTCTATTGATGTAGGCAACTCAACATTCATTGAAGTTAATGAATCCAAAAGAGTTCTGGTCGCATGGGTTCTAGTGTGTGAGGGTTGACACGTGTTTTTTTATTATATGCATAATAATACTTTCCCTTTATAGTACGGCCGGTGTCAAATTTACGTTGCTATTTCTTCTGCGCCTCTTGTTTATAATCCTTAAGGAAGTCTGTATGGGGAATCCTGATTGGAAGAGGTTGAACAATCGAGTGTCCCTCATTGGCGATAGCATCCGCCTCTTCATTTCCCATTATTCACATGTACAACACAATCTGCACAGGCTTGATGAGTTAAATCTTCAAGTAATAAAAGTAGTGACTTGAGCGCACCTCTACATAAGAAATCACTGCTCTGTTATAAGTATAATATTCCAGTTATATTCATTTTAGTACTTATGATTTTTATAATTCATACTAACATTCAAGATCATCTTCATGAGCTTATAACAAGTTCCAAATTCCTATCAACATTATATTTTTTTTTATAAATTGTTTTTATAATATAAACTATTTGGTTATAAATGTTAATTAAATAATAGCACAATTACATAAATGAATGGATCAATTATTTTTATTGATAAAATTTTAACTAAATATATAAATTGATTCATGGTACGCCGTTGATTCTTGCGATCTCCTTCCGTTTCGTATTACAATCATGGCATATATACTTCTTTCCTAAAACATATAAAAAATTAACAATTTATTTTAGTAATGACAACAAAAAACAAATATTTACTTCCTCCAACATATATTGTATTCAGAACATTTGTGGTCATTTTTTTTATGGTGTTTTCCTCAGATTCATTGTTATTGAAACATGTTTTTACTTTCTTGGCGGCTGCAAATCTGGTGTAATTTTTCCTTGATTTATTCGCTTTACGTTGTTTTTTGACTTTTTTTGGTCGTATTGCAACTGGAGTTGCCTGTGCTTCTTTAAATAATAAAAGTATAGTTTAGATTATGTAAATGTTAGTTAAGTCAGTGAAAATACAATTGATTATTTCAAAAGTACAAACCTGAAGTTTCCGCTTGTTCGAGTTGGTTAAATAATGCACCCATCTCGAGTTGCACAAAAGCTTTCGGTTTTCCCTTTCCATTCGACATTTCCCTCACTAGTTTTACTGTAGCTGATGTACCTTCAACGCATTTTTTCTTCAAAAATTTTTCATTTTTGCGTTGATTAACTTTTTCTCTTTGAATTGTATTTTTAGATTTAGCTGGCTGAGATTCTATAAATATTAAAAGTATAATTTTATAGTTAAAATTTAACTTGTTTGTAAAGTAGAAGACAAAATTCAATTAATAGTACAAACCTGACAATTCACCTGAAGCTTTAGGTTTTCCTCTTCCATCTAAATTTTGTTTTTCCACCATTCCATTGCAGTTACTATTTCCAGATTGGATTAAAGCATTTTTATAAACGAACTGGTTTTTCACGTACTCTTTAAATAAACAAAATTAAAATTTTATAGTTTTATAACACAGGCGATTCCGCTAAATTGGGACACAGGTTAATCGAGACAAATCCTAAAGAACGGAAGGAAAACTAAGGAAATAACACAAATTTACTCCGGGACAATGTTTAATTAATACTAATCTTGTAATTTTTGCCGAACTTCGAATAAATGTGTCCCGATTAAGCCAAATCGACTATAGTAATACAATTGAATTGTTTACGAACCTGATGTTTCGGATATAACGCTTTGATCCAATTTATTGCATAATGCATCCATGTCGAATGAAACTGAAGCTTTAGGTTTTTCCCAACCATTTAAATTTTGTTTAATTTTTAAATGTTCTTCCTGGATGTTAAGATCTTCGAAACGGATTGTTGTAGACTCATTTTGTGTAAGTGGTGTTTGTAATAATACTTTATTGGGATACAAGCATTCTTGGATACCGTGTACAAATAAACTATAGTTATTATGTTCGTTGGACCATAGCATCTCATCAAAAGTTGGACCTTCCAGATAATTTACGCTACCGAAACAAGTACCTAAAATATACTTTGCTGTATTGTAGATAAAAGCTTTGAACTATAAATACATACGGAAGATATATCCCGGTTTATTATTCATTTCGTTATAGGAATTTAAACTTCTCACCTAAAACAACTTTATAAAAATCTTATGTTTGTTATAGTTATGTAAATCCACTTACCTAAGTATGAAGGATTAAATATTCTTGGAGATAATCTTATAATTAACTCTGGCGTCTTCTAACGCTTACTTCTCAACGTTTGAGGAAAGAATGACTGCAGATTTAACAACGTTAATCTCTTATTGATATGAGTAATCTTGGTTACAGGTGGTAGGGATATAAGAATCATTTGTTTATTTAAATACTTTGCTGATATTCTGATATGTTTATCTCTCGATATTTGTGTGCACATTAATTTGAATTAAATGCATTTTTATGATTCATAGTAGTTGTATATTTTTCAAAAAATTATCAGTCATTGCTTACAATTTATATTAAAATTTATTAAAGTATCGTATTACATTGAACACTAATACAGTAATTCCTTGACTTACGTAAATAATTGGTTAAGAAATTTTTTTATTTTTGCAAAAAATATGTGTTAGTTTAAGAAAGAGGAATTGGGGTACGAGCAAGGGCACTACTAATAACTGAGAAACAATTAAAATCGCGTTAGTTGAAATCGCGTAAATCGAGAACTGACTGTAATAAATACAGTACAATTGCAATTTGTTAGTAAACTATAACATTCTATAAAAAATATATAAAATTTATTAACTTTTACGAAGAACCGAACTGTAGGAAATGCCTGGTTTCACTTTTGCATCTGAGGCTTCAGAATTATCGATTACATCAGGACCTTAAAATTTTGACAAAAAAAAACAATAGTTAGTAGTATACAACAGCTTTCAAATTCAAATGTGTACCTTTCTTCTGTGCCTTTGTTTCAAGTTTGGCATGCAACGATGCTAAATTCAGCGTCAAAGAACACCTTTGCTTAATTTCTTCATGTTGCACTGTTGGAGTGCGGAGAAGCTGTACAGCAAGATCTGTACCTTTCGTCCAACATGTTTTGGTATTTTTCTTGATAGGTTCCTGTGGTGCGACCACAATAGGACTTGGATGAAGACAGTCCTGTATAGCTCTGAACATATTGTAGTATGTACTACTCTCATCACTCCACATTAATTGATTGTAAGATCTGCTCTCAGCTGTATCAATAATAAAATACACGTTAATATTTTGAAGTCATTCAATTGAAATACGTACGGGCAGTATTATTATTTTTATTTCCACTCATATTCTAGGCAAACAAATTGTTATTTAATTTAAAAGAAAAATGTAGTTGAACCTAAAACAATGAACATATTTAATACAAAAGATGCTGAAAGTTAATTTTATATAGGCAAACTTACTAATGCGATAATTTGGGTAGTAACAGTTGATTCTATCAAATCGGAACTACTTATGTTATGAGTTTAACAGCGATGCTGTGAATGATCTTAGATCGGAATCCATTAGAGCGAATTACATTACCTAAACAAAAATAAATAAATATTTATTAATACAAATACTGCGATTGTTTTGTTTATACAATAAATAAATCTCGAGAGGATGAGATTTCCGTTTACTTAAGATAAGCATTGTTTCTTTAACGAACATTTCGCGCAGAATTGTTTACACGTTAGTTTTTCCTGACCATTAATCATATTATCATATTATAAACAAAAACTATGCATTTATTTTTGATAGCAAACAACAAATAAACAATGACAACAGAAGCACACAAATGAAAAACAAGGAATTTACGAAAAACGTGTACTGTGCAACAATTTTTATTTGCCTCAGTTGAATTCATTGAATTGGATTAGCTGAGATACCAAGAAAAAAAATATTATTATTATTATTAATAATTTATATTGAATTTTTCTTATTTTCAGGCTTTTTTTTATGAATTTTTACTCCTTATTACTAACGCCAAAGCTTAATCAAACACACAGTTTGAAAAAAACTAGCATACAATGTTGCATACTATTCTGTATAAATATACGGGCGGATATATTCGCCGCTTGTTCACCAATTACTGAACTGAGAAAACTAATATGTTATGCACAAAAAGGAATAAAATTAAATGGTTTTCCAAAAAGTACCGTGTAAAGCATTAAAACGTATAAAGAAAGTATCGTGTAAAACGATGTTTTATTAAAATTGTACCAAAAATAGAAATAAATATGCTAACTATAGTAAGTGATTTTTCAAATTTGATTATTTGAAATTAGTATTTTTGTTTAATAAAAAAAAATATGATGAGCGAATGTAATTTATTAAGAAAACAAATAAGTTTCAAATTAATATGATTACGAAGTTACATATTTAAATTATAACTAGAAAATAAAAATTTGATTATTTGAAATGGAAGGAAATAATAATAATTAAAAAGACAAGTACATTTTCATTAGTTTTATTTATTACATATTTGGTAATAACATTTAGAAAATCTTAAAATTGTGGTAAATCTGTATAATTATAATTTGAATAAATATATACATGTTTCGGATGGGCTTGGGCGATTGCTCAACAGATGGCGTGGGATGTGTCAGTGTGATGGAAATCATATCGAAATTTTTATTTCATCAAAAGATTACATATACACATATTTATATATATATATATATACAAGATCCTCATACAGACGCATCTCTCATATATAAATGTATTCATTTTTTAAGTATCTAGTGACATTGAAAGAACGCAATACAAAAAACTGGTGTGTGTATATGTATACCTATTAACTCCACATTTGTATTTTATTTCATTCTTCTTTTATATATATAGATATATATATTTGTAATATTTTTTTCTTAAATTATTTTTGGGATAAATTCTTCATACCGATCTTTAATTTTCGCTTCATTTTTTTTTATTAAAAATATCCTCGCCTAACATCGTGTGCAGACTAAGAATTGTTGTACTCTCATAATATTCATCTTAATAATTTTTTTTTCAGCTTTCTTCTGGATTTTCTTTTATACATATATAATAAAATATGGTTTTCTTCCTCGAAAGAAAAACGCAACTATCTCAAAATTTATTTCTCATCTTTTTTTCTTTTGATTTTCCATAACTTTTCTTCTCTCAATAATTTCTTTTTTTGCTCGTATACTCTGGCTCATGGTCCGAAACATAATCCTAAACTCGATTTATAGAGACTTATATGTACAAATATATGTTTTGTTCTTCTCGAGGGGATGGGACTTTTTGGATCAGGTAAAGGTACCTACACTTAGTTATAAACAAATATCAACGTGATTTCAGTCTAAAAGTTTGACATCAGAAGGCGCTCGTATAATTTTTTTTTCTTATACTTTTTTATACATATATAATTTTTGGTTTGTTGATTTGTTTGTTTTTTTTTTGGTGGAGGGCGAGGGTGGGTTTTTATAAATGATGAAATGAAAGGATACACTTAGTAACTGCAGACACCGACCACTAACAATACTTCCTATACGATCCACAAGAAAATTGAACTGACGGAATGCGAAATAAATCCACCGGAAGGGTAGTAATTGCATGAATGTTTGCGTACATCGAACAACAACTACAAAAAAAAATTAATACAAAAGAAAAAAAGAAAACAGCACAATAATTAAACATCGAACAAAACGGCATCCCTCGTAATCCACAATCGGAAGGAAGCTCCGGTAATTGCCATGCCGATCGATAGCATTAAAACCTTTTCATTATCAAATCGGGGGATTTGATCTAATGAGAAATGGATGGACAATGCAGGAAAAAAAAGCGCACCGTTGCGGTTACGAGTACACGATTAATTAAACCGCAGAGTTTACCGGTTTTAACATTAAAATCTATTTAATTAATTTATTTATTTGTTACTTCTTCTTTTTTTTGTAAATTTTATCTTTTTTTTTGGTTTGGGTTGTGTAACGGGTGTTGACGTGGGTGGTACTGTGGGTGGTTGGAGGCGGATTCAATTTTCTCGAGGTTTTACTAAGATTTCCTCGTGTTCTCGCAGAGACTCCGCGCATCTCAATTAAGATGTGTCTTTCACGTTGAAGGTTAAATTCAGGAGGACATCGCTCGTCGCTTCCAGCTGCTTCTGGAAGTGGGCCTGATCGTCGGGTGACGACGGTGACGGTTGCGGCTGCTGCGTTTGCTCGACGACCTTGAATGGTTTCGCCGGTATCGGCGTGTCCGTCGAGCATTTGGAATCGCTCTCCATGCTCGAGTTGGAGCTCTGGTTCATCTGCTTGGGGAAACCCTTCGTCTTCATCTCGTCGGAGGAGCCCTTGTCCTTGCCCGAGTGGTTCTTGTGCTCCGCCGCCTCCGCGTTCGTTATGTTGTCGATCTTCTTCCACTTGGTCCGCCGATTTTGGAACCAAATCTTCACCTGAAACCAGAAAGCGCATGATCTAAATTTGATCGATATAACATACATTTTGCTTATGGCTATGTGTACAACTTATGCACACGCTTCAGGCCTGCTCGCATTGTAATTCCCACTGATTATAGTAGCATAATTGAGAGCGGTCTATTTCGAAATCCCGACAATCAAATTCCCGACATTTG